CACAGGGGGAGCTCTGCTCAGCCACAAGCCAGGCTGATGGCCTCTCCCGCCTCCTCAGCAGCACTAAGGATGTCCAACTGCAGCGTAAGTCTGCTCTCCGCTGGCAGGTGGACACCCCCAAGGGCTGCTGGGCTGCCAGAGGGATGTCTGACTGCCAGCTTGGGCCCGATCCCCCAGGGAGCAAGCCTAAGCCAGCAGGTAGACATCCTCTGAGGGGTCCCAGACTGCAAGAGGGCATAGGCCGGGCTGAGGGACCCCCCAAATGCACAAATTTTTATGCACTGGGCCTCTAGTAATATCAATAATAGTCATCTTTCGATATCCACAGAAGATTGGTTCCAGGACCCTCTCAGATACCAAAATCTGCAGATGCTTAACATGTAAAATGCTCTAGTATTTGCATATAACCTACACACATCTTCCCATATACTTAATTTATTTATTTATTTATCCTCACTAGAGGATATTTTTCCATTGATTTTTAGAGAGAGTGGAAGAGAGGGACAGAGAGAAATATTGATGTAAAGGAAACACATCAATTGGTTGCCTCCCCGACCCGCCCTGACCAGGGTCTGGGATGTGGAGGAGCCTGCAAGCTAGATGGTGCCCTTGACTGGAATGTCCCCTTGACTGGAATTGAACCTAGCACCCTTCAGTCTGCAGGCCGATGCTCTATCCACTGAGCCAAACTGACTAGGGCTCCTTCCACATACTTTAAATCATCTCTAGATTACTTATAATACCTAATGTAATGCAAATGTGGAGTAAATAGAGGGTGGGGAAAAAGTAGGTTTACAGTTGTGAGTACATGAAATGAAATTTATTCTTGTATTATTTACTAATTATTGTATTATTTTGCATATGAACAACTGTAAACCTACTTTTGCCCCACCCTGTAGTTGTTATACTGTATTGTTTAGGGATTGATTTTCTGAATACTTTTTCAAATATTTTTGATCCATGGTTGGTTGAATCTGTAGATACAGAACCTGTGGCTACAGAGGCTGGCTATATATATAATAAATATTAATAAATTATTATGTTTAAGTATTTTCATTATAATATACAATCAATATATAATATATAATTATATAAATATGTAAGAATCATATGAATTATATAAATTTGTAATTATATATAATTACATACATATAATTATTATATTAAATGATATACGTATTGCTTTGAGCACCGTCAGGCACATTCCAAGTGTTCGCTGTAATTATTTTCTCACCCTGGCAAGAGGATGGCTCACTCTTTTGGATATTCCCAATAAAATAAAGATAAAGCACATTTTAAAAAACTTTTTCTTATGGAAAATCTTAAACATATGTGAAAGTTGAGAAAATGGCATAATGATTCCCATACACCATCACTGAGTTTCAACTGTCATCAATATGGGCAATTCCATATTGTCTGCAAACCCACATTCATCTCCTCAATACCCCACCCTCTGCTGCTGGGTGACCTTAAAGCAAATCCCAGATATTATATCCTTTCTTCTGTCAACATGTCAGTAAGTATCTCTAAAAGACAAGGACTCTTCAAAACATCACTACCCTGTAACTACATACATAAACACTAACAAGAATCCCTTCATATTATCAAATAGCCGGTGAAACCCTCATGTTCTTAAAGTGCAGCCAGACCAGCCACCTGGTCTCATCATCCTGGAGCCTTGATTGAGACTGTTCCTCAGCCGGTTTCTCTGCTTGCCCCACTCCAGGTGCAGGATGCTGTGGCATTGATCTGCTACTTGGTCTGGCTGGAGAAGAACGTGCCCAAAGGCACAGTGGACGAGTTCTCAGGGGCACAACAACTGGACACATTCCGAGGGTGAAGGACCACGGCTGTCCTTTTTCGCTGATTATCTTCTAATGTGGGGGTGGGAAGAGGGAGGGGGACTTGGTCTCCATACTTTGGGGGAGAGGAAGACCCTCCTTGTGTTTGGGGGCCTCTCTGGAACTAGGAGTGACTGGTTCTTGGGTGGTCCTGGAGCTGGGCAGGGAGTGTTGGGTGACATTCTCCAGCCCCAGCTGACAGTAGACCAACTTCAAGGGCCACAACCTAATATCACCCCCTAGTGTCTGCTTCAGGCATAGCTCGTTCTCCCTGAGGGTAGCTGGTTCAGATCTATTGGCCCCTGGACCACTTGACAATATAAAGTTGAAGATGGAGGTTTCCTGAGGGCACCAGGTCATAGGCAGGCTGTAGGTTTGAGGTGAAGGATGCTGCTCCTGGGTTAGGGAAGTTTTTAAATACAGGGAACTAGGTTTCTTCACTCTTGCTTTACCACGAACATACTATGGGTCATATAGGCCTTGGTTTCCCCATCTGTAAAATGGAGGTGGAGGAGGAATAACTAGTGTATACAGTCCCTCCTTCTCTGACCTTGAGTGCTCTATAAGTGGCAGGTTGGGACTTGGGAAGGTGGAACCAAGAGGTGAGACTGGGAGAGTCTGGCTGAGGTAGAGGCAGCTGTGACCTTCATTTGCCCTTGTTCGATATCCTGGGCCTATTCATTGACCATTCCTGCCTTGTACTTTGCAGAGAAGAAAAGTTTTCCTCTGGACCCAGTTTCCAAACCATCTCTGCTAGTGGTCTGAACGCTGCCCTGGCCCACTACAGGTACTTCAGGAAAAAGAATTTTCTGGGGATCCCAGTGTATGAGCAGGGGGAGTGGGGGTGGAGGAAGTAATGCTCTGGGACCCGAGTCCATACTTAAACTTTGAGGCCTTTAGCACTGTGGGGGCTGAGGGTGGGGAGTGAGGCCCAGTGGGTAGGTTGGGGGGTCTCCTTAGAATTAAAAGACCCGTGCACTTTTCCCCCAAGAGGCTGTGACTTTGTGAGCACTCGGGGCTAAGGGATCTGGAATAGAAGCAGGGCTGATGCTGGATGCTTTTCCTTGATGTCCTGTGAGTTATTTATGTGAGCTAATTCTTAAAGCTCACAAGCACATGGGGAGAAAGGCCTGTTCATTCAGCCTGAACCAACTAAGGTGGGCCCAAGATGTAGGCTGGCTAAATGTTTGGCTCCATAGGACACAAACATCTGTAGGCCTGCCTGATGAAATTTGGGTGGTCAAGCTGACCAAATGCCTCAGGCTGGCATGGGCACAACAAGGCTAGGTCAGACATCCTCCAAGGGCCAGCCTAGCCTATCCCAGAATTCCCTCCCGTGGCATCTCCCAAGCCCTCATCTGCCCTGGCCTAGGTAGGAACTCCTCGGCCCTACCAAACCTTGCTCTCCAGCCCCATCCTTGAGTACCTTCACCTTGGCTCCTCAGGGCCCTCTGCTCTAGGAGGCAGCAGGAAGTTAGAGAAAGAGTCCAGGCCCAGCTCCCTTCCCACTTTACCCCGTGGCTTTTGCAACTCCCTTGGCCTCTGCAGACTGGTTTCTCCTTATGTAAAAGGTGATGACTGCAGTGGGTGCTCTCTGCGGTTCTCCCAGCCCCCACATTCTGGGATCTTTCCTTCTCTCCTCCCTGGAGACCGGGGCCTTGCTTGTGAAGTGCAGGATAAACAGATACATGCTGAAGACATTAATGGCAGAAGCTGAAGACTTTCCTAGGGCCCTTTGGGAGATAATGACCTCACCAAAGGAGTCAACCTAAAAGTCCAGCCCCCAGGGGTGAGGGGGGTTCCTCTGCTTTCATACAGGACCCCCACCCCACCCAGCACAGGGATTGGCTGCTCCTTTTCTCAGCATCTCTCCCCTTCTCAGCCCATCAAAGGAGGTACACCGCAAGCTGACTTCAGATGAGATGTACCTGGTGGATTCTGGGGGACAATACTGGTATGTAGCCTCTACCACACTCTGGTCTGGCTGTCTCAGCCCAGACACCTTGGGTGGCCAATAGCTGGCCAAAGCTTTCCCATCCTCATCATGGATTCTTCATCTGAGAAAGGAAAGGCCTAGTGGGAAACACACAAAGACCAAAACAGTAAGGTTGCCCATGCAGCACCTCAGTGAGAATCAGGATGATTCCTCTGGCTCAAATAAAATGTTTTTAATCCCACATATTATTGCACAGTCTGAACAGGCATGCTTAGCAGCCCTGCCTTGCTGCACAATCAGTGTACCCATGCTCTCACCCACTCATGCACACACTGCCAAGCCATGCATCCTCCTCAGCCCCCTCCCCTCCCACCTGCATGGGTGAGGTGACCATGTCAGGTTGGGGGTATGGGCAGAATCCAAAAGCAACAGGCCCTCAAGAGAAGCAATCTCAAGGGACTCCCAGATCATGGGTATGTGTCTGTGTGTGCTCCCCTGAGTGCATGCACAACCACATGTAGGGCACTGTCCTATGTTTTTCAAAGATTTTTTTCATTGATTTTTAGAGAGAGGGGAAGGGAGAGGAAGAGAGAGAAACATTGATGCGAGAGTTAAACGATGCAAGAACAAAACATTGATCAGCTGCCTCCTGCACCACCACCTCCTCCCCCCACCCCCCACGGGGATGGAGCCCACAACCTGGGCATGCGCAAGCATCGAAGAATCAAACCATCAACCTTTCGGTGCACGGGACAAGGCTCAACCAACTGAGCCACACTGGCAAGGTTGCGGGCTCAATTTCCAGTGGGGGCCATGCAGGAGGCAGCAGATCAATGTTTTGCTGTAAGATATCTTGATGTAAGAGGTTGCTGTAACCCCTGCACCAAGACTTCGCAATCTGTGTGTCCACCTGTGTGCTCTCATTAAAATTAGTACAGAACCATGAAGTGAATGGCATTCCTTTAGATGTGTTACCCTTACACAGTGCACAACCTGAACACCTGGATATGCCGCTAACCCCATTCCTTCCAAATATGTAACCAATCATTCACACAGGAGCTGAGCTGAGAGGAGCTGGAAGAGTTTCCCTTCTCATCTAGGAAGCAAGTGGACTGAGGGAAAGAAGCGGTGCTGGGACTGATGGGGGAGTAGCTTCGAACAGTTTGTCATCCTCTATCTTGTAGAAATGGTGAATGTGCTAATGACAAAGGCATTTCGCATGTTCTGAGCACGCTCCTGAGAGCCAGAAGAGCAGGCACGCAGCCCAGAAGCCTTTCCTAGTGACCAGTGTGGCTCTTTGTGTACTGGGCACAGCCAGTGTGCAAAGGGGAAGTGAATTTGTGGGGCGTTGCTGGATTGGGGCATGCTCAGAGCAGGGTGAGGCCAGGGAAATGGTCACCTCACTTCTCTCCTTCTGAAGAAGTCTGCCACGCCCTGTGAGCTGCTCCCAAGGAGGAGTCCCCAGGGCCCTGGGACCATTTCTCCCCTCCCCCGTCCCAGGGTGGCCACATGGGCCATCCTGGGGGAACAGCTGCAGCTGGTGGTCAGACTTTTTGGCTTCTGGCTTCAGTTCACTGGGACTCTGAGCAAATTCCTGGGTCAGATCCATGTTTACAGTAGAGCAACTGTGTGGAGAGTGAGTTCTTGACGCAGGGCTGGCTTCACTGAGGCTCAGAGAAGGACAGGGCCTCCCAGCCTTAATCGCCTCACCTGTGAAATGGAGATAATGAAACCTGCTCTCTCTCCCTTCCCAGGGAGCTGCCAAAAGTGTTCTATGGATAGTAAATAACTATCTGAATGTGTGCGTGTTATGATATCTCTGGATCTGTTTCCCAGTCTGTAAAAATGGGACAATCCCCTCCCACCTCTCACAAAGCCTGGAAGAAGCATTGCTTTTATTTTTGTTTTTAATATATTTTTATTGATTGCAAAGAGGGAGATGGGGAGAGAGATAGAAACATTGATCAGCAGCCTTCTGCATGTCCCCCACTGGGGATAGAGCCCACAGCCCGAGCATGTGTCCTGACTGTGAATCAAACCACGACCTCCTGGCTCATAGGTCAACACTCAACCACTAAGCCACCACTGGCCAGGCATGGAAGAAGCCTTGCTTTTAGAGTGAGCTTGACCCAAGCAAAGCCAAGTTTACAAACAGCCAGAATGGGGAGCTGTTTGTGAAAAATCAGGATTGCCCGACAATATAGTAATTTGATTTTGATAGCTTTGCAACTCCTTCACCCATAAATGCTGAAGATGGGCATTTGCTGATGGCAGTCATCTTCCTCCCACCCACCCCTGTCCCAGCCCTGCCACTCAAACCCTCCTTGAGAGCACACAGGAAGCACACTGGCATGATCCCTACCCCCAGGTGTTCAGCAGAGCTGGACATGTTGATTTTCCTTCTACACAGGGGCGGAACCACAGACATCACCAGAACAGTCCACTGGGGCACTCCGTCTGCTTTCCAAAAGGTAAGCATTAGACCTAGATTTCCTCTACCCATCCTCATTCCAGGGACACCCAAGAGATCACTCTATTAAGAGCCTTTTCATTTTGCCGAATCTGAGGTTAAGTAGTTTGCCCATGTTCACACAGCAAGTTAGTACCACAAAACCCAGTGTTCCCGGGTTCATCTCCAGAGATGTTTCAGGCCACCAACAGAACTTCACAATCTGTGTGGCTGCCTGTGTGCTCTCATTGGAAGTAGTCATAACCATGATGTGAATGGCATTCATTTAGATGTGCCCAAGTTTATCATCATCTCATTTCAGGAAATCAATGAACAAATATTTACTTGGTGCTGTCTGTGTGCCTAGCTCTGTGCTCAGCAGAAAGGAGGAAGAAAGGCATTCCAGGAGGAAAGTGGCAGAGATGGAAAGGAGCTGGGGTTTTTCAGGAAGCAGTGAGGGCTGGTCTGCTTGATGCAGAGGCTGGGACCTCATGTATGTTCACTAGGGGGCCTCTGGGGAAAGTGGGGAACAGGGGGCTGCATTCATGCATTCAGCAAGAAGACTGTGGTTCAGGCATTGCGCTGAAAATGTCAGCACTGGTTAGGCCTCAAGGAGCTCACAGTTTAGCGGGTTGAGTCTGCTGCCCTAGGTTGTCCTGCCCGAGATACCTCTGATACGCGTGTCACAGGTTCGCCATCACGGCTATAGGGCCTGACCAGGAAAAGAGGCTGCTATCAGCCCAATTTCCTTTCTATTTTTCTTTTTTAACATATTTTTATTGATTTCAGAGAGGAAGGGAGAGGGAGAGAGAAATAGAATCATCATTGATGAGAGAGAACCATTGATTGGCTGCCCCCTGTGTGTCCCCTATTGAGGATCAAGCCCGAAATCTGGGCATGTGCCCTTGACTAGAATCGAATCTGGAACCCTTCAGTCCACAGGCCGACGCTCTATCCACTGAGCCAAATCGGCTAGGACCACTTTCCTTTCTTTTTCCACAAGGTCACAGCCCTGACCAAACGAGGCTGATCTGACACACTATCAGATCCCAGCCCAAATTTTAAACCTTAAACAAACTAAAAGATGATCATGATAATGGTAATAAGGGCTCTGGCCTCAATTTGAGCATTTACTCTGTCAGGAGCACCTTACGTGCATGAGTCTCCCTACTCCTCCCAGCAACATTATGAGCTAGTATTGTGGTCATCACATCATAAAAGAGGAAAGTGAGACCCAGAGAGGTTAAAGGTGCTTGCTTAAGGTTCAGAGTTTGTGAGTGGCCAAGTCAGGTTTCCAGCCCAGGGAGTTTGCCTCCCAAGCCCCTGCTGTCACTGTCTCAGCTCACCATCATCTACAAGCATCCCATGCATCAAGCTTTGGGCAGGTTCCCCTCTGCCACCTCTGGGCATGTTCTAGAACCTGGGTGACCACACATGAACATTCACCTCCCTCTCAACACCCTCCCCCCCCCACACACACACAGGCCTGGGCCCACACACCCACAGGCCTGGGCCCACACACCTACATACACACAGGCCATACAGCTGGAAACTCTCGGGCTCCCCTTCTTATGTACCACCTTATTTCTCCCCCCCCCCCATCAGGAGGCATATACCCGCGTGTTGATAGGAAATATCGATCTTTCCAGACTCATCTTTCCTGCTGGTACATCAGGTAGGTTTCAGAGATCAGGCTGGACCCAGAGTCTTAGACATTGATTTCACTAGACTCAGACCACCACCCTGGAAGAGGTACTGGCGGGGGGGGGGGGCAGGGATTATATCATCACCCATATGTTGTATAGATAAGAAAACCCGGCCCAGAGAGAGAAAGCGATTTGCCCAAGGTTACACGGAGTCACTAGGAGAGCCAGGCTTTGAACACAGGTCTCCTGCCTCTTGATCTAAGCTTATGTTGGGGAGGTTAGTGTGGGCTGCAGGAGTCATGGGAGGATTCCTGGAGGAAGTAGGTGTCTTGGCAGATGTGGAGAAATTGTAATAAAGTCATCAGTTCAGATAATGGGTACGACGTAAGGTGTGCTGGAGATAGTACAGCTTACCTGCTTCTCAGCGTCCTATCTCCACAGTCACCATCCTGGTAGTAGGCTCTAAAACAAGAGAGCAAGAAAGGAGCAAGGTGAACAGTTTGGGGTCCAGAAGACTGACTGGGCGCCATCTCTCTTCCAGGACCAATGTTGGAAGCCTTTGCCCGAAAAGCCTTGTGGGAAGTTGGGCTCAATTATGGCCACGGGACAGGCCATGGCATTGGCAACTTCCTGTGTGTGCACGAGTGTAGGTATCTCCTCAACACTCCCTCAAGGTTCTCCTTCTTCTGAACATGGTAGATCCTTTCATAGTTATGGAAATGACCAAACCCTCAGAGATGCAGTGACCCATCCAAGGTTACCCAGCTGGTGGGAAGTGATGCTCCGTGGGGTAAGTGAGAAATGCTGGCAGTTTGGCCACTCCGGTGGCCTGCCTGGCATCTTGGAGGGCCCCAGAGAGAGGAGTAGCAGGCCAATACCTAGTAGCTGACTATCAGAGACCCTGCAGAAAGAAAAGCTAGAGTCAATCTGGTCTGTAAGGTAGACAATAACATGGTAGACAAGTGCTGCTAGAGGTACCCAGGAATCCCCAGTTACCTACTGTTCCAGAGAGCCTGCTACTTTCCAAGCTGGTGAGTACAGGAACACTGAAACTTTACCTATATCTCCCTTTCCAGGGCCAGTGGGATTCCATTCCAGCGGCCTTACTATGGGCAAGGGCATGTTCACTTCCATCGGTATGACTCTTGGACTCCTTCAACCCCCACCCTGCACCCCAAAACTAGCCCAGGACTGCAGTCTAGAGAACATGGCAGGCACAGGCACACCTGGGATCAACGGCTGCCCTCCTTCTACTCCCCACTCTCAGTCCCAAATGGGTTGCTCGACCCTAACCATAGGCCTCTTCAGCCCATACCCTCATTTTGCTTTTGGGAGTTGGTTCCCATCTGTACATCCAACTATAGAGTCTCCAATCAACTATTGGGGTAACAAAACAGTTGAACACAGGGAGATGGAAGTACCTCCAGGACCCAAGTGGGCCCTGACGTCTTTCCCACTAGGCTACAAGGAAGCTTAGAGGGAGCTGAGGCCCAGCAGGTTGCCTCAGGGTAGCCAATGAACATCTAACAAGCGATGGGTCTGCCCTGGTCACCAGGAAAGGGCAGCCAGGCAGCCGTACTCTGTAGCCACTCCTCAATTGGTACAGGAAGTCTGGGCTCAGGTTTTCCCCCTGCTTAATGCAACCAGCATCTCTGTGTCTCCCAGAACCTGGTTACTATCAGGATGGCGAATTTGGGATCCGTCTTGAAGATGTGGCCCTCGTGGTCGAAGCAAAGACCAAGGTAAAGTGCCACTGAGATGGGCTGCAAGTTTAAACAGCATGGCAGTGACTTTGGTGTGTGTGCGCGTGTGTGTGTGTGTGTGTGTGTGTGTGTGTGTGTAGAAGGGTCTACAGAAGGTCACAGGAAAGGGCATCTGAACGTGTGGACATGAATTTATTTGGAGTCTTCCTTAGCTCCAGAAAAATTTTATAAATCAGAGTTTCTCAAACCTGTTTGCATATTAGAATATTAGAACCATATCTAGAGAGCTTAAAAAAAAAACAAACACCAATGCCCAGATCCCAATCGAGACCAAATGAGTCAGTATTCCTGCCCTAAATCATTGGTTCTCAATGTATATAATGATCACCAGGGGAGCTTCTGAGAAGTAACAATTCCATATAATAGCAACCAACAAGATAAACTATCTAGGTACAAACTTTCAAAAACTTACATGGAAAAAAATGTCTACTCAGGGATATAAAAAAGATTTAAGTAAATGGTGCTCTCCAGAAAGAAGCCTCAATATTATGATGACATTTCTACCTAAATTAATCTGTAAATTCAAGCCAATCTCAATTTCAGCACTACTAACTGAATGCCCTTGTAATTTCACAAAATGGTAGTAAGTTTATTTGTAAAACTGAACATTTAAAAAACAGCTATGACCCTGGCTAGTGTGGCTCAGTTGGTTGGAGCATCATACCATACACTGAAAGGTTAAGGGTTTGATTCCCGGTCAGGGCACATACCCAGGTTGTAGGTTCAATCCCCAGTCAGGGTGCCTAAGGGAGGCAACCAATCGATGTGTCTTCCTCACATTGATGTCTCTTTCTCTCTGTCTCTTCCACTTCTTTAGAAAGCAATAGGAAAAATATCCTTGGGTGAGGATTAACAAAACAAAACAAAACAAAAGCCTGTATTTTATTTTTTTTTGCCTGTACTTTTTATCTCAGCATTCCCTCTGCCAGACATATACCTTCTGGATATAGTCACAAAAGATCACCAAGATGTTTATATACAATGATGTTGACTGTAGTATCAATGGTCATAGTTTAAGGAGTAGAAACAGTCTAAATATCTGTCACTGGTTAAATAAATCATGATCTACATACTAGGGATCCTCATGCAGCCCTTAAGAAGAATGAGCTGCATCTCCCTCTGCTAACATGGAGTGCTCTCCTAGGTTTACTATTGAGGTGAGGTGGGGAAGAGAATGTGCAGAATAGTGTATGATAGGGTCATTTTGCATGAATTTTAAAAATATGGACATATATACTGTATATGTCTAAAATGTTTTCAGGAAAGAAAGCAGGCAGGGAGGAGACTTTCAAATATTGGGTATCTTTTTGTAGTTTGAATTTTCTTTTTTTTCCCTTTTTTTGTTTCTTTGTTGATTAAGTTATTACATATGTGTCCTTACCCCCCCCACACACACACACACTCATGCCCTCACCCCCCTGTTGTCTGTGTCCATTGGTTAGGCCTATATACACACATATAAGTCCTTTGGTTGATCTCTCCCCCTTACCCCGACCCTCCCCTACCTTCCCTCTGAGGTTTGATGGTCTAATCGATGTTTCTCTGTCTCTGGATCTGTTTTTGTTCATCAGTTTATGTCGTTCATTTGTATCCCATAAATGAGTGAGATCATGTGATATTTACTTTCTCTGACTGGCTTATTTCACTCAGCATAATGCTCTCCAGTTCCTAAGCATATACATGCAAGACCTCTATGAGAGATGGGAATTATGGGCTATTTTTTTTCATACTTATCTCTATAGATTCATCAATAGATACATAGATAGAAATATGGAGATAGACAGATAGACATAAAATTCTAATACTTATCTTTAAATTATTTGATTGTAGGTTCCCAGCCCCACCCTAGAGTTTCTCACTCCAGTGTCTGGGGGGATGGGTCTCAGAATCTACACATTTAACAAGCTCCCTAGATGCTGTGTGGATGCACAAAGTTTGAGAAATACAGACCTAAGTCTAAATTCACGAATTAGGGGGAACCACCAAAGGTGGGGTGCTAAGTGGTAGAAAGGGGGGTAGCCAAGGGCATTGTGGGAGACTCAAGCCTCCTCTGAGTCTTGGGTTTGATAAGGATCAGTTCCCTGTGCCTATAGCTTCTGGGTGGAGTGTTCCAGCACTTCCTTCAGCCTAGCTCCTCCTCCTCACTCATTTCCTGCTTTTCGTGCTTTTCCACCTTCCCTGTGGCCTTTCAGTACCCAGGGACCTACCTGACCTTTGAAGTGGTGTCATTGGTACCCTATGACCGGAATCTCATTGATGTCAGACTGCTGTCCCCAGAGCAGGTGAGTGCCCTTCAACACTGTCAACCCTTCAGACCCTGAACCAGTTCCTGCCTTCTCCACCCTGGGCCTCTCTCGCCTCTGCTCCCCCTACCTCAAGACTCCATGCCCCTTCCATTCCACTGGGAGGGTTCACACTGGTGGCATCTGTAGGCATACACTGTGGTATGCCTTCTTCCCTCACCAGAGACCCCAGGAGTTCTTGAAAGCTCCAGTCAGACCAGGTAGTAACTTCCTGGGGAGGCTGAGACTAGGTCTCTGAACTCTGCCAACTCAAGTCCTAGAACTAAAATCAATCCCTCCCCCACTCTGGACCACAGAACTCTTTTCGGTAAAATGGGATAAGGCCTGCCCTACTTACTGTCATTGCCAGGTCTGAAATCCACTCCCCCTGACTCACACCCCAAGGAAGTCACTATGACATTAAACAGCCACTGTGTCAAACTGCCTCTAAAAAGCCCTGGGGAATGCCTGACCCTGATGATGGCTGGGGAATCAGAAGGGAAGGACCAGAGATTGGGTACTAAGTGCATAAATCCCCTATGAGCACCTATGGGGTATCTATGGGTACTTGGGCCAAGGTGAGCAGCTGGACTACCACAGCAGGGGACTAGATGGCACCAAGATCTCAGCTCTTGGCAGCTCACCCTAAGGAACACCTCATCCCTCCTACCCTTTGCAGCTCCAATACCTGAATCGCTACTACCAGACCATCCGAGAGAAGGTGGGCCCAGAGCTGGAGAAGCGCCAACTACTGGAGGAACTCAAGTGGTTGCAGCAGCACACAGAGCCCTTGTCTGCGAAGGCTCCACGCACGACCTTTTTGGCCTCTCTGTTGGCAGTCTCCACTCTTGCCATCCTTGGCTGGAGTGTCTAGAGGCCCGGGACTCCCCTGCTAACCCTGTCACTCAGCTCCCTTCACCCTGCACCACCCATGCCCTAAGAGCTTCTGCTGGCCCATTGCCTGGAAACCTTTGTCCTCAGCTTCCTTCTCCAGGACCAAGCCCCAGCCTCTCAGGGCTTCTTGGGCTTATACACCTCACCCTCAGTTCCCAACCCCAGGATAGGAGAGCCAGCTAGTTCCTTTCCTCCAGTGAGCCCAGTAAGCCTAACCTATAACCTGGCAGAGCCTGTTGCTGCTGCGCCCCAAAGGCCAATATAGGGCAGTGCCTTACCCCCAGGGGCCCCATGGCCCTGGGAAAGCCCCACCCTAAAACCACCAGAGCTGTTCCCTCACACTGGCTCCTAACTCCATGCCCTTAAGGTTGCCTCTATTCACCCCCACCTGTACCTGGCCCTACAGTGACCTCCTGGCTGCTTGCCCATAGACTGAAGGAACAAGGTGGCTTCCAAGCTTCCTGCTGTGCCTATAAAGGGAGAGGAAGGGAGGGTGGTTGAGTCCTCTGATGCCATACTGCCACCCCAGGGTCAGGAAGACGAGCCAGGGAAGGGGCATGTACAGCAGCCCTCCACCCAACGTGTGAGCCCATCACTTCCAAACCCTGGATGGGCTCCATGCCAAATGACAGGATAGGGACTTAAGCCATAGGAATTTGGCCATGGGGTAGGAGGGAATGCGGGAAGCGCTCTGGAATATGGCCTTACCCAAAGTTGGGAAAAGCCTGAACAATGATGCTGAATCATTCTCTCAGATTTCCTGGCACGTGGGAGCCCATTTAACTTTCCAAAGTACAGCCACAATGACGATGCTATTAAATCCTTCAGCATCCTTGGATGACCATTAACCTGCGAGGTCAGTGTCTGGTTTCCCCATTTTATAGATAAGAGAACTGAGTCCAGACAGAGTGGGATCTGCCCAAGATACACAGTTTGGTTGGGACATGGCGGGACCAGAATGGGCCAGCAGTCCAACTCTTTTGACTTTTGGCACCATGAAGAATCCCTTAGCCTACCTCCCAGCCCTCTCTGGCTCTCTGAGCCACTGTTGTTGGGGGGTGGGGAAGGGTAGTTTTCTCTGGCCAGCCCAGCCGTTAGCCACCTGGGCTCACATCCTGCTAGATACTTAAAACAACCTGGCAACAAAGCCTGCATTTAGGTTTTGCATTGTCTGCTGTGTTGCTGGGGACTTCTATTACCTGTGGCTTTTGTGGTGGGGGAGGCAGGGTGGGGGTGGGGATGTGAAGCTCCCAGAAGCTCGGTTGGGGAGCACATGTGCTTGAGAATGTGCCTGTGAGCATGCGTGCAGTGTTCCTGTATTCCCATGCATACCACGCCCAGCCAACTACTTCCTGCGCTAAAGGTCTTGGAGCCTTATGGAAGGAACAGAGGGGAGCTTCACACTGGGGTATTTGTCAAATGTGGTCCAGGAAAGTTGGGGCCACTATCTTTGCTCAGAGGAGCATAGTCTGGGGAAAGAGAGAACCAAGCCTTTGAGGCAGGGTGCTGGGCAAACGCACCAGGCAGAGGAGACCCCCAGCTTGGGACCACCAGGCCTAGTTTGCCTGTGACAATTATCACTAGCGATGCTTGCATCCAAGGGCCCCAGCTCTGAGCCAGCCTCACTGAGGCCTCTAGCACCCAATACTGGGCCTCTGTTGGCTGAGTCATTTGCTCCTTCACATGCTCACCCCACAAAGACAACTACTAATAATAAAATTACAGGTTCCACCAACACTGTCGTCATCAGTGCTACCATCTACGGAGTGTTTAGTATGTACCAGGATCTGTGCTTTACATGCATTCTTTTAGATTTTTTTTTTATTTTACTGTGGTAGGAACACTGAATGTGAGATCTACCTTCGTAAGAAGTGTTTAAGGGTACACTATTGCATTTTCTCATTTAATTCCCACGGCCTATGAGAAGGTTCTTTTATTGTCCCCATTTTACAAGAGAGGCTCATAGAGATTAACCAACTCACTCAAGGTCACTCATCCAGGAAATGAAAATAGCAGGATTCAAACCAGTCAGATGACTCTAGAACTCTCAGAAAAGGGCGAGGAGTATGGCTCACACCATTTCACAGATGAGAAAACAGGCTCAACCTGGATCAAATAGCTGGTGAACTGGGACTCAGCCCCAACCAGTGTTCCCCACACTATCCTGCTTCTCCAGTGCCTGCCTGCCCAGGCCTTTACCTTTGGCCCCTGACCCTTGCACCTGCTGTTCTGGCAAGCTCCGGGCAGCAGGAGAGTCCTGGGTGTCTGACCAAGACCCACTGGCAGGCCTTTCAGTGCAAGGTGGCTTACACGGTCCTCTTTCCCCCTCTTCAGTGCAAGACCTAGGGTTCCACCTCACCTCCTCCCTGTAACTTAACTGCCCCCTCCAACCCAAAATCTTGGGGTTGGGAAGCCCCACCCTAGAAGCATAGCTACAGAGGGGGCTGCTTCCACCCTAGATCCTCCTTTCCAGTGTCCCTCCAGGCACACTTACCATCCTGCTTTAAGGCTTGCACTCTGGATCAGGCAGGGAAACATTCAGAGCCCACACAGCAAGGCTAGCATAAGCAGAGGCACTTGACACATCCATCCTTATGAACTGAAGATAAATAAATGCCCTTTGGGCTTTGGTCCTTTGTCTTTACGTATGCTGGAGGATGGGCTTACCAAACCCCTCGTTGGCCCTGATTGCCACTGTGGAGCAGGCCATGTGGAAAAGCCCTTTTTCCTAAGTGTTAGGATTCTTTTCCAAAGAGCTGTGCCGGCTATGTGACCTTGAGCAAGTCCCTTCACCTTTCTGGTCTTCAGTTATCCCTCCTGTAAACACCTGCCTCAGGAGGTTACACTGAGAGCCCATAAATTCCAGATGTGACAGGACCCTATAAGCCAGGAAGAGATGATAATGCTATTATTTGTCCAGTATGACTTCAACTCTTGCCTCACCTTTAGAGCTAGGTAAGGAAAAGGTTTGGGACCCAAATGTTAGTTACTTATTTATTTGTTTGTTTGTTAATCCTCACCCAAGGATTGATTTTTTTAATATTTTTAGAGAAAGTGGAAAGGAGGAAGGGAGGGAAGGAGGGAGAGAGGGAAGGAGGGAGAGAGGGAGGGAGAGAGAGAAAGAGAGAGAGAGAGAGAGAGAGAGACATCGATATGAGAGACACATCAACTGGCTGCCTGTCCACACGTGCCAGGGATGGAACCTGCCCTTGGCTGGGAATCAAACCAATGACCCTTCAGTGCTCAGGCCAACGCTCTATCCACTGAGCACACCGGCTAGGGCTGGGACCCAAATTTAAAATATAAATCATAAAAACCAGACAGGCTTTTGAGCAATTATCTAATTTGTGTTGTCCCAGCTCTGCTCCTTAGAGCCCGGACTTCCTCAGAAATGTCACCAGGGCTGCCACAGAAAGAGCTCCAGCCAAAGGCAGCCCATATACACTTCCTATCAAATTGTATTGGAAGTAGTCACCAGGCCAGCTTCATGGGCCATCCCCCGCGCAGTAGTGCAGTAAGCACAAGACCCTGCACTTGATTTAATGCTCTGCTGCCACCATCTTGAAGTTTTTAATAATTTTTGAACAAGGGTCCCGCATTTTTATTTTGCACCAGGCTCCACAAACTCCATAGCCAGTACTGGCTGTCAACTCTGTGACCAAGCAAACAAACAAACAAAAAGTGGGTTCAATCCCTTTCACTGTACAGATAGGCAATTGCAAACAGCAGCCCAGAAATAGAAAGGGACTTGCCCAAGGTCACACCACCCATTGGGGCCAGAGCTAAGACTAAACCCCAGTGTCCTGACTCAGCTTTGTGCTGGCTCCTTGCTGGCTTTCAATGGATGCTTGGCCCTCCTTTACTGCCTCTGATGAGCAAATTAGGACCCAAGGAGAGCTGTTTGAGGTCACATATTTGTGACAACAGTGGTTATGATGGCACTGAGATACATTTCTTGATGGTTTAAATCCTTTTTGGAATAAGAAAGTGCATGGATAAGATGATAGATAGATAGATACATACACAGACTTTGAATGGTTCATTTAAGAAATAGCCTGGCCGGCGTGGCTCAGTGTTTGAGCATTGACCTATGAACCAGAAGGTCACAATTTGATTCCCAGTCAGGCACATGCCCAGGTTATGGGCTCAGTCCCCAGTGTGGGGCATGCAGGAGGCAGCCGATTGATGATTCTTTCTCATCATTGATGTTTCTATGTCTTCCTCCCCATCCCTTTCTCTCTAAAAAAATAAATAAATAACATATTAACAAAAAATAAAATAAAAATTAACTGAGTGGGTCCTCACTCACTCGCCATCCAGCTGGTTCCAGATCTTCATGGACTGGGACTGTGCAAGGGGACAGGGGGCTGGCTAATTTTCACCCAGCTAAACCAAGTCAGCAGTGAATTTTACCAACTCACTGGTCACTTCCTCAAATCAGTGGTTGGGCACTCTTGGTGCCAAAAAAAAAAAGAAATATGAAAGATTTAATAGCAACTGTTTCCTCCCTGTTTATCCATCCCTGTCCTCCAAGGCTGTCTCAGCTGGGAGTGGGCGGTGCTCCCCAACCCCGCCCAGCCAGCCAACCCTTGCCCTGAGGCCACCCATCTTTTCACTTCCTTGTTTCTTTGTGAAACAGGAACTGAGCAAGTAGAGTAAAATGGGTAGTTGAGAAAGCCCCAGTCGTCCATGGCAAGGCCCTGAAGCTGAAAAGCTAATTTCCCTCCCAGCAGTCCCACGTAAGTAGTTCTAGGTCCTCTTACTTGTCACACCTCCTGTGAATTGCTTGGACTGGGGGACCCTGCCCTTGACAAAGTGGAGATACAAGGATATGAGCCACAGAATCATGGAGCAGTGATTCCTATGGGGCCCCAGATGTGATGTAAAAGCAAGTGCCAAGGCAAGAGAAGAAACACTGGGTTGAGTCTGGAGTAAACAGATATAGAGTCACCTACTGGGTACCAAGAGCTTTCCATGAGATGGTAACTGGGCTGAGACAGGTCATCTTGGTAACTGGTTACTTACACACACACACACACACACACACACACACACACCATTCCCCTTCCCCAAGCAAGGCTCACATGATCACTGTTACTGTCTTCACTAGAGCTCATTGTCCAAGATCATATAGCCAGTATGTGATGTACTAAGATTTGAATGGAGTTCAATCTGACTCCATTTCTGCCA